AGGCAAGGCCGCTGCGACGAGACCAACTTCCGGCAGGTGCTCCAGCTCCTGAGGATCATCACCCGCCACGACCTCCTGCCCTATGTCACGTTGAAGAGGAGGAAGGCTGGTAGGTCCCCACAGGCGCCCGCCTCCCCATCCTCGTGCACGTGTCTCGTCACGCAAAGGGCGCCGAGACCGGGCCACCCTCTCGGGCCGGCCGATCCAGGAACCCAGGCCGTGTCTTGCCGGGTCTGGCCAAAGCCGGGAGGGGGGGTTTTCTTCCAGAGCAACCCCAGGAAGCCGTAAGGATCCTGGCAAGCTCCCAAGGTGGAGACGAGGAGAGGGCCTGCCCTCAGGTTCACTCTCCCCTAGCCTCTGGCGTTTTGAGATAGATGGCCTCTGAACATGGAGGTTCCATCTAGCCCTCCAAGGCAGAACATGGATGTGACGGCCCCCATTTTCTCGGTCCCCAGAGTTCAGCTGCTTTTGACCGCTCCTGGTTGAGGGTCAGAAGGCTTTGCCAGGGGCCAGATCAGGCGCCCCTCTTCCGGCAGTTTGGGGATTGGACGGGCGCAAAGGATTCAGCCCTAGTTTGTCCGCAACCATGCTGTGTTTTCAAAAGCCTTAACGTGATGGAGAGAAACGGTAAATAGCTGATAAGTTTATTCGTAGCTGTGCTATTGGTTCACGCAATGGCGTTCACTTTTTGGGGCGTGCTGAAATATTCCCTCCCCCCCTTAGCAGTTGTGAGTTGCAGAAACAGGGGGTGGGTCATGTAAGACAGCAGGCTGGTCAGTTCCCACCCCACAGATTCAATCCCACCCATTTTGACCCTGCGGTTGGAAAAACCTGATACCACCAGGCAGAGGAGCGACATGTATGTGAACACAGCATGAGTATCCACAGATTCTCACGGGATGAGCATCCACTGATTCACTTATCCACAGTCTGAAAATATGGAAAAATCCTAGAAATATATGTACAGTATTTTAAGTTGAAGGTCTGAGAATGGGTCACTAGAGGAAGCCAGAGACCATTAGCAGGTATAGCAATTGCCCTTAGAACCATGTATGCTGTAATCGGCGCTTTTTAGCATCCCCGGTGGGTGAGGCTGGAACAGACCCCCTGCGGAGACACCGGGGTCCTACTGCCTATGCTGGGTCGGCCCTTGGAGGCGGTCTTTCCGGGCCTGCCTGTTGCCCCCACTTTCCCCTCCCTCCACTCCCCCCACCGCTGCGCATCAGCTCTTTCCCCACTGCCCTTGGGCAGATCATCCCCATCATCCTTGTCTTCCAGCGCTGAGATCCCACCCTCGGCAACCTCCTCACCCGTTGACGCCCGTCTCTTTTCGTCCCGCAGTCTGTCCGGACCTCGTCGACAAGTACCTCGAAGAGACGTCCATCCGCTACGTGACGCCGCGGGCTCACAGCAGCGCCGAGCCCGTCCCTGCCCACCAACACAAAGCTGGTGAGAACGAGCGGGTGGGCGACCCCCGATCCCTTGCCGAGAGGGCCTTTCCTTCCTTCCTTCCTTCCTTGAAAGCTTTCTCTCCGTTTGGGTCTGGTTTCTACTGGGGCCGTTGCGGCCGCTTGCCTGTTGTTCTGCTGGCTTTTGCCTCACGCGAAAGCCAAGAAGCCACGTTTGGGGCAGGCTGTGGGGAGAAGCGGCTCTTACTGGCCATCGAGGTCTCCTTCGGCTTTAGGAGCCGCTTCTCTCTGTCCCAGCAGGAACTTTGGGGTGCTTCTTGGAAGCTGGGAAGGGAAGAGGAGGGGTTCCCAGTGATCGCTGATGTCCTAAAATGTTCCCTAACATTTTTATCGGGGCCTGATCCCTTTGAGCTTCTGCAAGGGCCACGAGGCTGGTAGCAGGAAGCAGCTTGGCTGATCAACCTTTGAGATTCAGAGGCTCTCTCTCTCTCTCTATCTCTGAGGAGCTCGGTGTCATCTGTATGGCGCTTCCCCTCCTGGTTTTTTAAAAACCTTCACAATGACCCCCGAGAGGTGGATTAGGCTAAGAGAAATTGATTCATGCCAGGTTGATTCTGATCTTTAGAGGCAGGTAGCAATATTAATGCATCGGCAGCCTCCGTAAAGGCAGAACATGGAACCGGCGTCAGGTGGCAGAGTTTTCTAGTGGTAGCGACTGTCTTCTGGATGTTGAACCCGGCTGGGACCTCAAAATTTTAATGGACCCTGGCGTTCTCCTGCTTTTATAGAGGGAAGCTTTCCTGGTTTTTAAAAATTTAAATACATTAAAATCCACTCCATAGATGCCAAATTTAAGAAGGAGAAAGGTGGGGTAAGAAATATTTTAAAGAAATAAAAATAGACAATATACTGTAATATTGCGAAGGCCCCACGTCTCCCTCTGGGGATGTGTTTTAATTTCTCACTTGACCTTGAAAGCTAAATTCAAGACAGAAATGCTAGGTTTTGATTTTGAACCAGCGGGCAATAAACAGGGAGGCAACCAATTTGCATGTGTTTTTCTTTGTCCGGGTCACCCAAAAAGGGCGAGGTTGCCTGGAAGGGGGTGCCTCCAAAGGGCCAAACCGAGGGAGACCTCTTAGGGAGAGGCTGAGGGGGGCAGGAAACCAGGCGTGGGTGATTCGCAACTTGATGATCCTGAAACTAGTTTTCACTGGCCTTCGTTCGGAGGATTGGGGGGGAGGCAGCTGGCGAAGTGGGGCCCCGGTGGATCGTTTCCCCTTCCTAGAGAGGACCTCTGAGCCGTACATGCCTTTTCCCGTCTCCAGTGCCTGCCCACCACCCTTTGGTCTGCTGCTCCTCCTCGGGCCCCCAGATCTGTATGAAGCGGTCTAGCCGGGGGAGAGCCTTCCTCGGGAACCAGCGGAAAAGGAGGAAGTCGGTGACGCCGGATCCGAAGGACAAACAGACGTGCGGTAAGAGGGAGGGGGGTTCCTCCGGATCCTGCGCCCAGAGATCCTGCCGGTTTGCCTCCAGGCACGCCGCTGAATCCGAGCTCTGTCTCCGAGCCGCGGGTCCCTCCCAGAACCCAGAGACCCTTCCATGCTCCAGGAGGGGGGAGCCAAAGCAGGCCGGTGTCCTCGTGTGGCTTCCCAGCAGACTCAGAGCCCTCCTAGCAGCCACGAGGGGAGAAAGAAACGGGAGCCGCCGCCTCGGTTCAAGTCTCCTTCCTCCGTGGCTCCGTCTCGGGTCGGATCTACATCCCACTTGCACATCATTGCTCCTTCTGTTCCTGGATCCCAGGCCCCGTGGCCCACACGGGGGGGGGGCAGGCGGTTTAATACCCTTATTCTGGAGAAGGCCTAAGGAGATCAAACCCACCCACACCCTGTGTGGGCCACGGGAGGATCTGCCCCTCCTCGGGGACCCATGGCCAACTGCCCTTCCAGGAATGAAAATCGGCCTCTTCCCTGCCTTTTCCACCTCTTCCTAGTCCTCATCGTCCTTTCCGGATAGAAACTGTTGCAGAGTTTTGGATTTGGGGTTAAATTGCTGCGCAACCAGAGTGCAGGGATTCACAGACGAGAAATAGATTCAAGGTCCCCAAACAAATGCGCTCCCCCCCTTTTTTTTCTTATTCACTGGCACTTAACAGTCTCAGTGCCTCACTCTGAGACGTTCATAGTAGAAAAAAAATATAGGTTTCATTACTTACAACTAAACAAATTAAACAGCATACTGACAAACGTAGCTGTTTTTCAGAAACAGACCTCAACAGACTCTTAACTTCACTGTTGTTATTGTTGTTTTATTTACTTTATTTTTATACTGCCTTCCTCCCCAGTAAAGGGACTCAAGGTGGCTCACAGTACGAAAAGGAACAGAATTAAAAATGTAAGAAGTTAAAGATTGAAAACAATCAAACTATATGCTCGTTAAAATACAATGAAATAATTAAGAGCAAATATCCTTTAAAAACGATCTTCCCTGTAGACTCGAGAAAAGGGGGAAAGCCACAGAGCCCAGAGGCGGAGCCATCTTTGAATGGAAGAGGCAGGGAGAGAGAGAGAGAGCGATTGGTGAACGCTGGACAGATTGACAGGCGCCCGAGCCTAGAAAAGGTCCCTCCCATCCAAACCTACTAAAGGCAGCATGCGAGGTTGTTAAAAACTCCCCAACAGAAACAGGCCATCGAGACTGTGTTAATTCTCACTTGCACGTGCTGATCTATTTGTTGTCAGGGAGGGGGTGTCTCATCTCTTGTCTGTTCACCCCAAGGGATACCCCGATTCTTACCGCTTTCTTGACCCTTTAGCGCCTGCCCGGGCTGTTTTCCACCGGTGCTGCTCATCGTCCTTCTTTCCCTTCCCCCCAGATATCCGCCTGCGGGTGCGAGCGGAGTACTGCCAGCACGAGACGGCTCTGGAGGGCAACGTCTTCTCCAACAAGCAAGACCCGCTGGAGCGCCAGTTTGAGCGCTTCAGCCAGGCCAACACCATCTTGAAATCCCGGGACCTGGGCTCCATCATCTGTGACATAAAGTTTTCGGAGCTGACGTACCTGGATGCCTTCTGGCGTGACTATATCAACGGCTCCCTCCTGGAAGCCCTGAAGGGGGTCTTCATCACGGACTCGCTCAAGCAAGCGGTGGGCCACGAGGCCATCAAGCTGCTGGTCAACGTGGACGAGGAGGATTACGAGGTGGGCCGCCAGAAACTTCTAAGGAACTTGATGCTGCAGACGGCGCCTTGAACCCGGTGGTGGAATTGTGGGTGGCGTTTTTTGTTTGTTTGTTTTTTCCCCTTCTCTCTCCTGCGACCCCTTCGTCTCTGGCTTTCCTTTGGGCAAATTATTTTTTCCCCCAAGCTTTTTTTTTCCTTCAAAAAAAAAAAAAAGGAAAAGGAAAAAAAATGATACCGCAAAGGAATGAAATCTTGAGTTTAGTCCACGTTCTGCTCGGTGGCTTTAAGACCCTTTTCGTCGCGAGGGTGTCTGCTACCACTTCTCTCTCCTGCGACCCCTTCGTCTCTGGCTTTCCTTTGGGCAAATTATTTTTCCCCCCAAACTTTTTTTTTCCTTCAAAAAAAAAAAGGAAAGGAAAAAAAATGATACCGCAAAGCAATGAAACCTTGAGTTTATCCCACGTTCTGCTCGGTGGCTTTAAGACCCGTTTCGACGCGAGGGTGTCTGCTACCGCTGGTTTCGTTTTCTTCCCCCTCGGTCGGGGACTGAGACATGGAAAATTCTCGGGGGTCTCCCCCTCCGCCACCCTGCGCTCCTTCCTTCAAGGGCGACCCGGAGCCTGTTTCCCTGTTGGCTGGCCGAGCATCGCCAAGAGGCGCTCCTCGTCTCCGTCACCCTGTGCTCTTGATCTGTCTCTCGTTTCCCCCCTTTCTCTCTCTCTGTCTCTCTTTTTAAACTGTCCCTCTAACGTCCACCGTTGCCCAGAAGGGTTTAGAGCAGGGGTGGCGTGGCCCGAAGGGAAGGCCCGGGCTGGCCTCTTTATAGTAAAACAGAAAGAAAAGAAAAAAAAGGAAAGAAAGCAAGAAGCAAACCTAACCGTTGCTGTTTGTGTGACGGAAAGCACTCTGTGCTAGTGCGTTTATTTTTTGTTGTTGTTGGTTTGTTTCGGGTCTTTTTCCCCCCCGGAAACTGTGAATTTGAAGGCAGGGTGGGAGCCGGCGTGGGCCAGGAGAGAGGCCAGAAAGGGTCGGCGCCCTCAACCGGCGACCCGCCCAACCCTCTTATGTAGCAACGATCTGAAAGGGGACGCCAGGAGTGGCCCGATGGGGTCCAGAACTGTTATGCCTTGGAGTCGGGAATGGGGGTGCGACGGAGGGACCTGGTCGGGAAGGAAGGGGGACCCCCATTCCTTTGCAGAGGGCGAGGGTCCTTCCGGCTCCGCATGAGCCCGGCTCCAGATCTCCATTTCGGTGTGTGCTTTCTTGGGGTTGGAAATGTCCCGCCAACCCAGCCAGCTATGGGGCACTGAAGCTAGCCAGAGGGTCCCGTCCCCCCCGTCCCTGAGTGGAGAGAGAGCCCCACCCCACCCCGGCCCCCTTCTGATCCACTGTGTGTGCCTTTCCCTCACCGTTGAGTCGAGGGAACCTCTGCCTCCAAAGACAACAGAGAAGGGGGAAACGCTCCTCGGGGTGGGGCGGGGCGGCTCCCCTTGGCTTTCCAGCAAACCTTCCCCCCCCCTTCCTTCCGGATCTTGCAAAGACTCATAGCACCACCACCGGCGCACGGGAGACCTGAGGCTCCGGTGGCGACGGAGTCAAGCCCTGCGGCGTTTTCCGCCTCCCGTCTTTTTTAGGTATCGTTTTCCGCTCTGCTCTTTTGCGGCAAGCTTTTGGGAGTCACAAAGAGACGTTTCAGGGGGTGGGGGTGGTATCCCAAGGCATGGGTGGAAACGGAAGATTTGGGACGGAGGGCACTCGGGAGGGGGTTTATTATGGGATGGGTGGGCTGCAAGCGTGCTGTTACGTTTTGGTAACACGGCCACGAGTCGGTCTTAGCACCCCCCCCACCCGCCCCCAGAACTGCATCCCGAGGAGCCGGGCGCCACTGAGTTTCCCGGGGATGTCCTTGCGCTCTGTTTGTTCAGGGGAGAATCATACCCGTACTTTATTTAAAAGTAAAACAGTTTAAACCAGTCCGCGCGACGAACTGACACACACTCTGTGGGGAGAAAATGTCTGTCGAACCCTCTGAGTCAAATCTGTATAAGGGATTGTTTTTCTCTTTAAAAAAGGAAAGGAAAGAAAATTAGCCCTCCTTCTGGATTTTGTGTTTTTCTTGGTGGCGCTTGGTTTCTGTTTGACTTCACGAAATAAGGCGAAAGACTCAGAAAGGGTCCTGGGGGTGGGTGGGGGCAGTGGGTGTTCAGGAAAGCCTTCTGTGCCTCGACTTTGGGGCCAGAGTATTTAGACCCACTGCGCCGATTTTTTTTCAGGACATGCTGACGTTGGCTTTTGTTGCTCTCTCTCTCTGCGCCCCGTTTGACTGCCTCTACTTTCTGGCCCCTTTAGTCCTGCGGGAAGACATTTCTGAGAGCGAGGCGTGAAGAAGAAGGTGACGAAGCCGTCTCTTCACGCAGCCACTGAGATACTTCCTGTCGGGGAGAACCCTTCCGCACTTAAAAAAAACACAAGTGGATCAAAAAAAGAGGCGTTTCCTATTTTCACCAATCGCTTTTTCCATCTAGGGAAAAAAAGGAGGCAGGAATAGACACTAAATCCAATTGATAAGCCCAATGAGGCAATAGATCCATTTGGTAGGATTGATCTACCCTTGACCTTCCCCTTCAGCAACTGCTTCAGTGGGTCTCCTCTTGAGTCGGGACTAGCCATGGGACACCGTCCACGTCGTATGGTTTTGACACTGGATGAGTTTCAAGTTCCAACCAGATGAGAGGAAAAGGGTGGGTGGGAGACGGGTTCAGAGGTCCCCGTCTGGGTGTTGTGGGCGTTCAGCTGCATCGCCAGCCGCCCCTTGCAGCCTAAAATGAGTAGAGCCTAAGGGAAGCCAAGCTACTTGATCCCACCTTTTGCCTCAACGTTTCCTGGGACAATTTTATTCCTCACGAGTTCTCTTGGGCTTGGTCTGAAGGCTCGCACTGGACGCCTGCGAGGTCTTAACTCAGTTCCGGGTGTTTCAGCGAAGCGTGCAAAGGTCAGGCTGCCCCCTCCCTCCCTCCTTCCCACCTTCATACACCCCTTTAAACACACACACACAGTCACACCCCTCCCCTTGTCATTTTGAGACATTTCCGGCACAAATTTCTGTAAAACCTGTGACTTCTGTATTATTATTAATTTTTATTTTATTTTAAGGAACACCCAGTGTAGCTTTGTTTTTTCCCCCCTCAAAACAATTAAGAATAAAAAAAACCATCTGCCTTTTACTGGTACTCCTGTTCTAGGGAGGGCAGCGGTCGGTCCTTAACTCACCTCTGTGTGCGTGTGTGTGTAATCTTTTAACAGTCGTGCTTAAATGACTTGGGCTTGGTATGTGGCTGTGCTAACACAAAGAGACCTCCAGACTGGCCCCAGAATGCAGCCATGTGGCTCTTAAAGATTTATTTCATTAATCAGAGGTATACCAAAACGGCTTGCTTGCCGAGTGCCTGACATTCACAGACGCCCGTAGAAAATAATCTTAGAACTGCAGAGCTGGAAGGGACCCTCTCGATCATCAAGTCAAGCCCCTGCCTGTCAAGGAGGAACAAGTGGGGATTCGGACTCCCAACCCCCTGGGCTCTACGGCCGAAGACCTCAACCCTCGAGAGCTAGCTTTCCAGCATAAAGCGAATCGAACTTGGGCCCACCTGGGTGAAAAGCAGGGAAACCTGGCTGCTAGACCAGAGGGGAATACAGTACGACGTCCAGAACAAATACCAACCCCAAAACATGGAGGGGGGAAAAATACTGAAATAAAGTACAGGAGGATAAAGGAACACAAACTTTTCAGAAATGTGGAAGCTGCCTTCCGGGGACCTGCTGTGGGCGGGCCTGGCCCCTTAAAAAGCCATCCTTCTGTAATTTTTCCAAAGCAGAATTACGTGGAAGCTCAGTTCTGATTTCGAAAATACAGTAAAACTGGACGCTACCACAAGCATGCAGTAAACAGAAGCGTTCAGACATATACGTTTTTATTTGCATTGATTTTTAATTTTTTTTAGTGGGAGGGGAAATCACCAGGTAGTCTAGGAGAGAGAGCCAGGGGGGGTTCCCAGAAAGCCCAGCCTTCAGGCCACATGGACCCCGCATAATTCCCCACATCCGGATGGCCGGTTTGCCCCTCTGGGGCGAGACTTGCGCCCGGACAGCCGATTTCCTGGGACAGAGAGAGAATGGGGAGGGCACCTCTCCGGCCTTCATACTTTATAATTCCTCCAGTTCCGTTTGTGGCTCTCCTGGGGCCCCTCATTCAGCCCGGCAAAGGCGAATCCAGAAGGGGGCAGACGGGCCAGAAGTCCCCCAAGACCCCCTTGGTGAGGCAGGCAGAAGACGTCACTGGGGGAGGTGGGTCTGCCGGCCCCCCACCCGGCCATAGAGATCCGGCCGGCGGTGAGCAAATACGGGCATCTCCTCCCGGAGGTGGCGGAGGTAGGCCCGGTCGACCTCAGCATAGCAGATGCCCGGCCCTTCCTGGCACTGGGCGATGACGGTGCCCCAGGGGTCCACCACCATGGCGTGGCCGTAGGAGGCGCGCCGCTCGTGGTGCTGGCCCGTCTGAGCCGCGGCGACCACGTAGCACTGGGTTTCGATGGCCCGGGCTCGGAGCAGCACCTGGAAGCGGGGAAGGAGCACAAAAGAGGACCTCAGCATCCCCGCCCCCACCCAGGGGGTGTCCTCGTTACAGCTGCAAACGATGATCACGGAAGTGGCCTGCCTCTGTCTGTGCAAAAACTAACCTGGCTGAGGGATCAAAGGTTTTCTTTATGGGCAGGGGGTCTGAGCATAGGCAGAGTGCCCTCCTTGAATGAAATATCCTAATGCCACCATTATGTGCTATCAAGTCGCCTCCAACTTATGCTGACCCCGTGAATGAGCGCTCTAAAATCTCTTTAACTTCAACTATCCTGGCTCAGCTCTTACAAACTCAGAAGCCTGTGGCTTCCCTGAGGGAGTCCCTCCGTCTTGTATTGGCTCTTCCTCTTCTCCTGCTGCCTTCCGCCGTTCTCAACAGGACGGCCTTTTCCAGACATAATCCTGCATTCTCAGGGTCTTCTCCAAAGTAGGACAAACTCGGTGTCATCATCTTGGCCTCCAGAGAGAGTTCAGGCTTGATTTTGATTTAGGACCCACTTTTGTTTATCTTTCTGGTCGTCCCGGGTCTCCGCAAAGCTCTCCTCCGGCACCACATTTCAAAACGAATCCATTGCATTGCGAAAAATCAGGGCTGAGTCCCTGCGCCCCCCAGTTGAAAAACAGGATCAAGCTATTTTTCAGGGTTTGGATGTGATATTTTCTCCACCTACAGACATCCCACCCCTGCTACCCGATGCCCATTCCAGACTAGAAAGAGATAGGTATGCTGTGAAGCACGGCATTTGGCTCACTTGTTTGAGTCGCCTATGTGAACTTGTAATTCTATTGCACCTCTTTCTCCCCCCCCCCCCCCCCGCCGACAACTTCACAGGAAATCTAGTTCCTAAATGGATTTGACTAACAAACTCTTGGTCTCCTGTTCCCTACGTCAACATGGTTCAAGAAATTGTCTTCCTGTTACCACCAGGGCCTTATTTAAATAAACGGCTGGGTGCAAATGTACTTTTCTGTCCTTGATCGTTCTTCTTCAAAGCCACGATGGGGATGGCTGTCCGAGCGACTTACCTCCCAGTGGGCGGTCCCTGTGGCGACGGTGAAGGCCGACGGGTAGGTAAGCAGCTCGGCTCCTTCCTGGGCCAAAGTGAGGGACATCTCCGGGAAGCGGAGGTCATAGCAGATGCCAAGGCCAACCTGGCATGGGTGCAGGACTGGTAAGAAGGGGAGGTGGCAAATCCAGGGGAGAGACCACAGGCTGGAAAACGGCCACAGACCCTGGCCCAAATCTCCCTCAACAACAGCCCCAACCCAGTGAGCTTTAAAATAAAGCTCCAAATAGCCGGCCACCCACCCGCCACCTCCACCTACTTTTCCAGCCGGAGTGTCGACAGGCGGCACAATTTCGGGGCCCGGATTCGTGAAGGCGCTCTCCTTCAGGGAGACGCGGCCCTCCAACTCCACGTCAAAGAGGTGCGTCTTCCGATAGGCGGCCACGAGGGTTCCTGCGAACAGCCTCGCCAAACAGAGAGAGATGCAGTTGGAAGGGCAGGGAAAGACGCCAGCTTCTGGCTCCAACAGGTCTGCGCCTCCCTCCTCTCAGCCTGTCCTGAGACAGGGCCCCTCAGGTGCTCCCCTTTAGGTCCTTTCCCGACCCCAAAGGTGGCATTTTCTAAGCTGGCTTTTGAAGTTTCAAACGTTTTAAAATCATTTTAATTATGACTGTAGTTTAAACTGCTTTTTAACTGGCAGTTCACGGCTTTTTGAGCATGACTTTTTCTTTCTTTCTTTTTTAACACTGCGACCCGCCTGGGGTCCCCTCCCTGGGAGAAAGAAAGGTGGCCTACAGAAGGGGGTAAATAAATCCGTGCCCTAATCCTGCAGCAGAAGGGCTACTAAACCTACAGCTGTGAAGATCTGCGAGACCCAGGAAAAAAAAAGGATGGGGCCACCTGCAAGCCAATGTCCAAATGCCAAGCCCCAGGGAGTGTTATTGGAACGGAACGAAGCTGCAATGTTGACAACCTCTTATTTCCCTCCCAATGATTAATTAAATGCTTCCATATAAAGCCCAGTATTAGGATTTCCCCTGGTTTTGCCACTGCACGACTCCAAAGTTACAGGTGGGGCCACAACAAGAGGTCATGGGGGCCACAGTTCAAACATTTAACTTTCCCGGGCTCTGATGTTTCTTTGCATACAAGCCATGTGCCGTTCTGAGGCTCATGATCTGGGCTCGAGAGGAATGCTGGCCTTTAAGGAGACCTGGGGCAGCCGTGAGGGGGGGGGGCAGCCGCATCCCAGCTGAAGGACCTTCCTTCACCTTGGGGGTCCAGGAGAAGGTGGGCGTTGTAGATCCGTCCGGTGGTCTCCCAATCACTCCCTCGCTCATGGAACCCTCCGAGGGATAGCCAGAGGCGACATTCCCTGCCGAGGAAGGAGGAGAAAGACGTTGGGTTTCACCTGCCCGGCCCTCCACCTTAATCGTGGGCCCGGATGCTCGGCAGGAAAACAGTGCCTCTAATTCTTGGGAAGCTGGCTGGAGAGCTCAGGGGTCGAGGTCTCCGGCTGCGGAACCGGAAGTAGGGAGTTCGATTCCCCCACTGGGCCTCCCGGGAGAAAAGCCAGCCTTGGGTGGCCTCGGGTAAGCGGCATAGAAGCCCCAGGGCAACCCCGGAAGAAGGGAAGGCGAAACCATCTCTGAATCTTCTCTGAGACCCCAAAAAGGATTGGCATGAATCAGAATTGACTTGACAGCACATGGTTATTATTATTATTATTAATTCTTGGGAACCTTGCCTCAGAGGAAATCCTTGTTTTGCTTAGTTTTTTTCCCACTACGAATAAAGGATGCCAACCTCGACTCTGGAAAAAGAAACAATCCCGTTTTAAAGCCAAGCAGCAGAAGTTCGTTTGGCACTTCTTAGTTTAGGGACCCGCCAAAAGATGATTCGGGGAAGCTCCTTCCATCTCCCCTGCGTGACACCCAATGACGACTTTCGGGAAAGGGAGCCGGAAATGTATTTAATGAATGCCAGATTGCTCAGCTTGGCTCGCCCCTGGTGCTCCTTTCAACTCATGGGGGTGTGTGTGTTTCTCAGCTTGCGTACCTTTGAAGAAGGTTCTGGGAGCGGATTTCTGTTCCATTTCAAAAGGCACAACAAAGAGGCAAAATTGGCTACAAACCCCCTTTAAAAAGTCCTTTAAAGCATTTATCTATGTATTTATTTAAAATATTCTAACCCGCCTTGAGAGGACCTGGGGCAGCTTCCATCATTAAAATATTTAAAAGCTAATAACAGTAAGTGTACAGATATTCGAAAAGATTAAACAAGGATCGTATTTAAAAGGGTCAAGAAAGACATGACGAAAAACACACTCAAAAACCCGCCGAGCACAAACTCCGCTTTGCTCCTCCCTCCCTCCCTGTGGGAAAGAGCCATCACACAGCCCTACCTGGCGAGGCTGGCGTAACGCTGGATCTGGTCCCCATCCACAGTCTCGGCAAGCTTCAGGGTCTCCTCCACGTTTCGGCCGACAAAATCAAAGGCCTCGGGCAGGAAGACGGTGCAGGCGCCTCGCCGGGCTGCCTCCCGGACGAGCTGCGAGCAGGAGGCCCAGTTGCACTCTTTGTCCGGGGTGGACGTCACCTGGCAGACCGCGATGAGGGGCTTCGGGGGTCCCGTGCCTGCGGACATCCCTCGGACTCTGCGGGGAAAGAGAAAAGCGGGCAGCAGGGAGAGCAGGACAGCCTGGAAAACAGGACATCGCTTTTCTTGGGTTTGCAATCTTTAGCTGGCCTGTCAAGAGTTCGTGTCATTATCCGAGCGTGGAGCAGATCATTCGCTGGACTACAACTCCCACAACTGGGGATGCTGGACCTTGCAGTCCCACAAAGGAACACTGACAAGCTTGGAGTGTGTGTGTGTGTTTACAGGTTGCTATCGCCCTGGAAATGGGACAGGGGAAGCCGGGCTGGTCCGAACTCCAAGGAGCTATGGAATAAAGATA